CTGGAGCATTTGGCTCGAGCAGCCACGCACTGACCACGGCTAGAGAGATATCACGTACGTGACGCGGCTTGATATGAGTGACAGGGCATCGACGCCATTTCGCGGCTTTCCTGATTCATACAGCTAGTTGCATTCCTTGTGGAGTTCGATGAGATCCAGTGAGCCCCGGCCCTTGTACGAAGAGCATCTGTTGTTGCAACAGATGAAATGCCATGGGCCTTTCTAGTCATCAGTCGAGGATCCCCACCCCACCCCGGCTACATCGTGGGACAGTCACAGTATCCTTGGTTCGCACACACCGACAAAAGCTGAAGGTTTCGTGCGCGGTTCCTTATCAGAAGGCTGGAACTGAGCTGCTCTCTGAAGGCATAAATGGGTGCTGCGTTGTCAACTATCCACTACTATTGTCGAGTTGTAACATCACGATGCGAGACCTATACTGCATGGCATGGAGCCTTGTGCTCATTGGGCATGTCGTTACTACTACTTCTACCGCCACAAATCCGTGGAAAGATTTAAGCTCAAGGGAGATGGCCGAGGTCGCAGCATGGCTACTTCAGCAGCCAGAGCTGAACTTGAGCAAGGCTGATGCGACTGATATGGCTGCAACCTGGTCTAACTCCATGTCACAAACTCTACAGCCCGGAGTACAAGCCCACATGGCTGACAATTCCGATCAGTGCATCGATCGAGCTCTAACGACCGGATAAATCTCAAGTCCTGTCTTATATGCGCTCTAGACATCAGGCCCCTGCGCGTTACGCGCGGGCACTCTTGCAATTCAGCGCAACGTCCGAGCCGCATTTCGCGGAAATCCTAGTTGGGCCCCTACCTGTTTCAGAGAACACTACTGAATGGCAGACTTCGGACTTTCCATGGACCCGAAAGACCAGTGGCAGAGTGCGCGACCTGCGTGTCGACAAGAAGAGCGAATCGTACCAGCACTGGTTGCACGAAATCGGAATATCAGTCTCAGACATTACCCAGTTCCTTCTGAACGGTGCTGCCGTGGGCGCGGCTAATGATTCGCTACACATTGTGCCCACTGATCCACTCGGACAGAAAGAAGATGGGCAAATCATCACCTGGTACACTTTTCGTGGGGTGTCCTCCGCAAGGTTCGATAGCTCAACACTTCTGCCGACTGGCCTCTACTTTGAGGCTGATGTCACTGGAAGGGATCCCCACTCTTGGGAAATCTTATCATGGTTCTACGACAATGAGGCATACTCCACTACACAAGAACTCAGAGACGCCTGTCTCTCCGAAAGCTTTGTCAAACTGGGGATGAACTTCAACGGCGATTGGGTGGGCACCGATGCTCAGCAGCCCGTGCTGCCATTGGACATCATTACGCCTCCGATGGGTCTCAGCGCATTGCGATACTCTTTGGATACGGATGAAGGCTCAATATCATGGATGGGTTTTGAATTTTTCCTGGGGTTCAGCCAGGAAACGGGCCTGGGGCTTTTTGATCTCCGTTTCAAAGGGCTGCCTCTGATTTTCGAGCTCAGTCTGCAGGAGGGGCTAGCTCACTATGCTCGTTTGTTCACGCATATACTTAGTCAAGCTTGTTGTCCGTGCTCAAAGACCAAAATCTATCCAGGCCGCAATCCATTCCAGTCCAACCCCGCCCCTCTGGACTCAGCCGATGAATTTGGCACGCATGCGTTCGAGCTCTTACCTGGCTACGATTGTCCAATCGGCTCATCCTACCTCGATGTCACATACTTTCAGGCCGGTAGGCCTATGATCCACAAGAAAGCGATCTGCATCTTTGAGGCCACAGCTGACGCACCCTGGCAGCGGCATACAGCTGCTGGGTATGTCACCGCGAGCAAGAAGGTTTAACTCGCTTTGTGGTAGAGCAACAGCATCGACGATCACCATTCCAGTTCCAAATATGTTACTATGCAGCATGATTGCCAGGCCCGCGCTGCACAGCTCTATAGCAATCAAGAAATTCACGACCCACCAATCGATTTGGCCACATTTCTTGATAGCTAGGGCTTGGAGCAAGTTGACCTTGTTGTTTGGGTCGTTCTAGGGGTGCACCACGTCCTCATTACAGGGAATCGCCCCAGTACGTTGGCAACCAATGGACACTCGAGCATTCGCCTCACGCCACAGAACTGCATCCCGCAGGATCGAAGCGCGCACAGCATCAGTTGGGTGCGAATCGGCTACAAACAAGACGAGGGATCAAAAGTCAATCCTTTCGACCAGGACGCTAGAAATGACTTTGCAGCGATCGTTGATCCTGACAAGGCGCAGTTCTTGAAGCGTCATGGCACATTCATGAAGTCGGGCTTTCAGTCAGCAGATCATGTGGTAGAGTTCAGTTTCATTAGTGATCTGGCGCATGGTCGTCAAGCTGACTCTTTTGCTAGGAGCAGTAGCCAACAGCAACGTTCCAGAGGGCAGAAGTTTCAAGCGCAAGGACCTCTTGAACCTACAGCACGGTCGTTACAGTAGGGCAGAGATTCGTAGCACGTGCACCTCGAGAATCCACGACATAGCCCCCGTTAGGGCAAGAACGTCAAGCAGGAAACCCCGATCGATTCAACGGATCCGAGCTTGACAGAATTGTCCATTGCTCCGTTTCCGTATAGCCAACAGTCCCAATTATGAGTCTGACCAGGTTACTTCCACGTACAAGACAGGGCAATACACGAGCATGCTGATCTTTCAACGTTGAAGCATCAGAGGCACAGACAGTGCATCTGCTGTGCCGTTTTAGAAGATATCTCGCAGACTCGGAGAGGATTGCTGGAGATACTGAAGTGGAATCACATTGGATAATGGCTAAACAAACCCGGTCTCCGTTGAGGCTCTCATATCTGGATCTTTGGCCCATCCACAACCAATGTCGGGTCCATATGATACTCGGCCCAGTTGAACTTATGAACAGCACGAGGTTTAATCCACTCGACGATTTTCTCAAAGTTGCGACAGCTGTGAGGTGTACTGCCGTGGAGAACATTGCGTTGTCGTCCCTCGTGCCACTGCATCACAACATATGAGATGTCACCGTGACACATCAGTGCTTCTCGAAGGTTCTCAATGCAATGATACATGTGGTCGTCGTCGAGCAGACCCTTTCGACGTGTGCCATCGTACATCGATCGATTCGAGAATAATGCCAGCCGGAGGTTGTACTATGCTGATATCAGTTTGCGCGCAGTTGCGGTCGAAGATGTGGGGACAACACACTAGGCAGTGAAGTTGATGTATCACGCCGATCTGAGCGTAGTACTTTCCTGGGTAGTACGGGTCGAGTCGCGATGTTTGATTCGCAAGATGCGATGCTTCTTCTCTGGTAAGTGTCACTCCTCCTCCGACTGTCAATGCACTCTTGTCAGTATAGTGTTGCGAGCTATACGTGGTGACAATGCGCTTACTGTTCAGCAGATCCTCCCACAATTTATTGCTCTTCTCAGTCGGCGGGCCCCAATACTCAGTAACCTCGGGCTTGAAGGCTTGAGAGAAGACACGAACTTCGTATTCGATCTCATTTTGAACAGGAGCTGCTGATCGTCAACATGGATGGTAAAGTATCACAATATTGGTGAGACAAACAGTAGATGATTTGGCCGCACAGTCGCTTCGCTCGCTCTACTTGGTTCTGTGTCCAATAGTAACCCGTGACGATCGCGACCAGCCAGAGGAGGATATGAAGATAGAAGGCGCATGCCGGCTTGCAGATTGGTGCTGGCTTTCTTCTCACGTAGTCGGCGTCCTGCTCACTGCTCTCCAGTAGTGACTGGTGATCACTTTTGTCGGTGTATGCCATAACTCAGAGATTGTCTAGTCGTTCCTGGCGTGGTGGATGCTTGATAAGTATCTGGTCGCGGATGGAAGAAAGTCCTTGGGGACATAAGAGTTTGATAGATACGGGCACTGCACTGGAGCATGAAAGAGCAAGTCATTTGGCAGCTCATATGTCAGGCCCATGCGGTTGCGTGCAAGGAGATCCATGAGCTCTGAGCAATAGTTGTTGCAACTCGATTCCACTTTTCTCTAGCTCATGGTTCAATTCATGGTTCAAGCTAGGTTGCGGGCGTTGCATGTCTGTACGACTGCCCGAACTTGACCCGTTTGACTTGCGATGAGGCAAGAATCACAGCTAACAGCTAGAGCTGCTGATCATATAAGAGATACACCCGCTATCCGAACGTGTAGACTGTTCTAACACACCTGTACCACGATAGTCCACCAAAAGAGCAATCTCATCGCAACTACTACCGACATGCGTTCCCACATCGCCATTCTCCTTATCACAGCTCTTGCTGCTGCATTGCCTCATGGACCAAGACCAGAAGATGTGAGAAACAGATCAGTCATGCGCATTCTAAGCATCTCACTCATTTCTAGCAGGGAGCTATTGAAGCCGAAGACTTGTTCAAAAGTAGCGATGTAAAATCTTACGTAAGCGCTTACAATCCGCTTATAAGCCAAGGAATTAGGCTGTAAGGCATCCGTAAGCGACCTCTCCGCACCTACTATACGATCTATAGTACTTTAACTGTCTTATGCCTATCGATACGCCTTAATAGGCTAGCTACGCCTTAATAGGCTAGCTATACTATAATAGTAGTACGTGTTAGAAAGTGCAGTCTAGTTAGATATTCTAAGAGACACTTTAGGGATTA